GATGCTGCTTGGCCTGCTGTGTTCATCCAGCTCTACACCTTGTTGTCTCAGATTCTCCGGCATCGGCAGTTCCTGCTGTCTCCCTCACCGTGACTCTGTGATATAACACACATCCCTCACTGTGATATAACACCTATCCCTCACCGTGACTCTGTGATATAACACACATCCCTCACCATGATTCTGTGATATAACGCACATCCCTCACCGCGACTCTGTGATATAACACACATCCCTCTCTGTGATATAACACCCATCCCTCACCATGACTCTGTGATATAACACACAGCCCTCACTATAACACTCTGATATAACATACACACCACTGTAACACTCTGATATAACTTACGTTCCCCGCTGTAATGGGATTAAACTCATGCCTTGTTAGTAATGTCCCAGTGGTGACTGATATTGTGTCTTCTATCAGTCTGGATGTGCTGAAACAATGCTGAAGCTGAATGTCAGAATGTGCTGCTCACTGACAGGTTCAGCAAGGTTTCTGTTGTTCAGAAGAATCTTTGTGCAGCAGATGGAGCTGGTTGACCAGGAGCAGGGAGGAATTGAAGAAGTTGCATTCACCTTTCTTTTCTGATTCCTATGCTATTGTTGGGGTCTGTCTTTCCCCATCCCTCATCCAACAGGAGCTGCCCCCCGAGTGAAGCTGGTCTGTCCATGTTGAGTGGTCAATCAGGCTGGTTGTGTCCTCCTTTACTGTCTAACAAAGGGCTGTAATAAGATTGAGGGAAATGTGGTTGGGTCTTCTTCCTCCCTCCCTAGCCTAAGGCTGAGGTGTTGACTGTCGGTGCTCCTTGTGTTGATGGACTCACTGCTCCCAGTGATGGAATCTGAACCCAAGTACCCTCTCCCCACCCCTTCCAACTTCCCCCCACCCTCCACCCACCTCCCATTTCCCTTGTTACTGCTGTACTTCCCCCCGGTGTCATTCCAACGGGCAGTGCTTACTTTGTCCATATTGGGCATACTGGTAGCCAGGCACAGGGTCCATGCTGTATCCAGATGTACTGTAGGCGGGTGTGCAGTAAGACTGTGAGCTAGGCAGGGTCTCCACGCCCTTGATGGAGTCGGAGCGCTGGCTGCAGCTGGCGGAGAGCGGGTTCGAGGTGTCCAGGCTCCCATGCAGTGGGGAAATGGAGAAATCATGCTGTGGCTGAGTGGGAACTGCTCCAGGGTTACTCAGGATACTCATCACCTGCAGGAAAGAGAGAGACAGAAAGACACAGAGAGAGACATAAGGAGAGAGAAAGAGAGAGAGACAGAGAGAGAGAGAGAGAGAGAGGGGCAGGTTAATATTGAGATGGAGATTGGGATTCCAGCAGGGACTCAATGGAGGGGAGGGCCTGAGCTGCAGAGTAAGACTGAACTAACATGTTTCTGTGGAGGTGAAGAGTGTGACCAAAAATTCTAGCAAATCCTGGATATCGCGGAATGTACAGGATGCAATAAGGAGTAAAAGGGAAGCTTATGGTAGAACCTGAGGGCTCAGAACACCAGAAATCCTAGAGGTGTATCGAAAATGCAGAGGGTTACTTAAAAAAGAAATGAGGAGAGTGGAGAGGGTGCATGACAAAACACTAGTGGGTAAAATAAAGGAAAATTCAAGGACATTTTACAAGTGTATAAAGGGCAAGAGGATAACAAGGGAAATAATGGGGCCCATTAGGGACTTAAGAGACAAATTGTTGGTGGAGCTAGAAGTAGGTGAGGTTTTAACAGAATACTTTATATCTGTGTTCATAGGGAAGAATGAGGTCTCGAAATCTTGAAAATGTACTGTGATGTACTTGAACAAATTGGCATTGAGCAGGAGGAGAGATTAGCAGGTTTAACAGGCTAAAAATTTGATCAATCCCTGGGTCCTAATGAGTTTTGTCTGAGGCTGCTGTGGGAGGCAAGGGAGGATATTGCAGGGGCTCTGATATTAATTTTCAACATACAGAGGAGAAATGTTAGAGGACTGGAGGACAGCCAATATGGTATCATTATTCAAAAAGGGTGGTAGGAATAAACCAGGGAACTGCAGGCCAGTGAGTCTAACATCAATAGTTGGGAAACCATTGGAAAAAATTGTGAGGGACAGAATTAAGCTCCACCAGTCAAGCATTAATCAAGGATAATCAGCATGGCTTTGTCAGGGGAATATCATGTCTGACAGGTTTGATTGAATTTTTTGAGGAAGTGATTAGATGTGTGGATAAGGATAGTTCAGCGAATGTAGTCTACATGGATTTTGGTAAGGCTTTTGACAAGGTCCTGCAAAGGAGACCAGGGCAAACTGGATGCAAATTGTCTTTGTGGCAGCAGGAGAGAATGCTGGTTAAAGTAGGTTTTTACAACAGGAGGCCTGTGCCCAGTGCAATAGCACAGGGTTTGGTGCTGTGTCTTTTGTTGTTTATAGTGTATGTTTATGATCTAGACACTAACATTGAAGGTTTGATCAGTAAGTTCACAGCTGACATGAAATTTGGTGGTATAGTAAACAGTGAGGACAATAGGGCAATATAGCTGGGCTGGTCAGATGGGCAGGACAATGTCAAATGGAATGTAGTTCTGAAAATTAAGAGATGATGCATTTTTGGAGGACTGTCAAGACAAGGGAGTACACAATGAATGGTAGAACCCTAGGAAGTACAGAAGGTCAGAGCAACCTTGACATGTGTGTCCACAGATGCTTGAAGGCAACAGAACTGATGTATAAGGTGGTCAGGGAGGCATGTGTGCCTCACTGTGTATGCCTTGCTCTGTCTAAACACCCTATGACCTGGATGTCCTTGTATGTTATGATCTGCCCCTACTGCTCGCAAAACAAAACTTTTCACTGTACTCAGAGGCATGTGAAAATAATAAATCAAATCCAATCAAATCATTTGGGATATTTGGCTTTATTAGTTGATGAATTGAATACAAGAGCAAGGAGATTATGGAGGAGCTGTATATAACATTAATTAGGCCACAGCTGGAGTGCTGTGTGCAGTTCTAGTTGCCACACTATAGAAAGGATGTGATTACACTAGGAAAGGTGTAGATGAGATTCACCAGGATATTGTCTGCGCTGGAGTGATTCAGCTAATAAGAGAGATGAGACAGGCTGGGGTTGTTTTCCTAAGAGCAGAGAATGTTGAGGAGGGAGCTGATTGAGATGTACAAAATTATTAAGGGCATACATAAGGTAGATTGGAAGAAACTTTTTCTCCCTAGTAGAGGGATCAATAACCAGCAGACACAGATTTAAAGGGCAGGAAGTTTAGAGGGGATTTAAAGAAGATTTTTTTTTACCCAGAGGATAGTGGGTATCTGGAACTCAGTGCCTGAAAAGGTCATAGAGGTAGGAACCATCACAGCAGTTAAGAAGTATTTAGTTGATCGTTTGAAGTGCCAGATCTTACAGCTCTATGAGTCAAGTGCTTGGAAATATGTGCTTAAAGACTGGTGTGGGCATGATGGGTTGAAGGGGTTCTTTCTGTGCTGTCAGACTGTATGACTCTACAAAGTGAGACTGAGCTACAGAGTGAGGGACACATGCACTGACCTCAAGCTGTGGTGGGAAATCATCACTTTTGCCAAAATTTCAAATCCCTGTCCACATAGTCTGTCCTCACGGTGGCAGTGTCAACACAGTGATCAAACACAGTCAGCATTACATGAGGCCAACTTCACATCAAATTAGAAGCGAGCGATCCCATTAAATGCACACAATCCACAACAAGAGAAGGGAACTTTACTTTTTAAAAAGAGCATGCTGGCCTCGGTTTACTCATCTTCGTGTCCCCTTTGGAAACGTAGAAAGTAAGGTCAACAGTTTCTGAATAAAAATGGAAAAATGTGCAACATCTGTAATGTTTTATCTGATCAGGACTGGGTGAGTGGGGAGGGGTGGGGGAGGGAGGGGGTAAGGAGGAGGAGGGGGAAGGGAGTGGGAGCTCTGAGCAGCTCGATTGTCAATCACACAGACCGACAGGGCTGCTCAGAAATTATAAACAGCCTGCAGTGATTATTGGAGGTGGATGGAGTTGGTTTGCGCACTGAACAAGACTCTACTCCCAGAATTTTCTCCAGACTGGGATGTTGGCTGCTGCATGGGCTGGGGAGGATGGTGTTTGAGATAAATCCAGGAGGTAAGTATAAACACAGAGTTGCAAATCACCCTCAGGGCATCTCGCACTTTCCCTGCGAGATAGTCATTTTTTGAGAAAAAGTAATTAATTCTGGCAACTTCAGAGCCAACAGCCTCAGGGAGTGCTAATCCCACAGGGGCCATTACTTAACCGACACAAACAACAAGCTATCTGTTCCACTTACATGTGCTACTGCTAAAGAGGGAGTCTTACTGTCAGGACCCCTTTTAAAGAGGGGGTCAGTAACAAGAGGGCTGGAGAGGGGAATTACTGGGGAATGGAGGTGGATGGATGTTTATAGAGGTATAGACCTAGGGAAGAGATTAAACTAGCTCCCTCAAACTGTTACTCAATATCTCTTCCTCCAACAGCTTGAGGACCTAAACCCTCAGTGAGAGTCAGCACCTTCGGGAGAGGAAGGGGAACTGTACTCCAGGGAGACTCAGCACCTTCAGGAGAGAAGGGGGCAAATTAGATTAAATCATTTTAAAATTTATGCAGTTTTTTGAAGTATTCTCTCAGTTTGAAAATTGACACCCGCACAAAAATGTCAAAAGGAAGTGTCCGTTTAACCCACCGGTAATCCAGTTTTTACTCACTTATTATGTGCATAGGATTCTCATGGAATACCAGCCTGCTGTTTTGAGGATAAAATTCCACAGCCTTTTTGTTGATTGTGATATTATTAAAACATCGTTTAAAATGCAAGCTGTGAATGGTTGGTGTGTGGGATCACTTCACCACTCAGTAATGTTACAAGGGCCAACAGACCCAGCTAAACTCATTCCCACCCAGATACACTTTCATTCCTTGGCAGGGCCTGGGGATTTATAAAGCCAATGGGGCCAGATTCAGGCAACTATCACACATTACTCTCCCTCGGAGATTTACATCAGGAGGCTTTTGAACACCACCGGATGAATGAAGAGTTTCCTCACTGAAAGGGCCAGTGACTGCTGATCATATGTTTATTATCTCCGTGTGTTTAAGGTCAGAGGGAAAGAAATATCTTAGATTATTTGTTCACATAATGTCACCTGTCAGTGATGCACTTAGATGCAATCTTACTGCTGGATTGGCTCAGTCAGAACATTGTCAAGACCTTTACAACCCTGTGCAGAACTGGGATCTCTATGCTGTCATAGAGGAGTTCTGATAAAGAGTCATCAGACTCGAAACATTAACTCTGCTTTCTTCCCACAGATGCTGCCAGCCCTGCTGAGTTTCTCCAGCAATGTCTGTTTTTGTTTCAATTCTCCAGTGTGTGCAGTGCTTTATTATCTATTCGTACAGAAGGAATGTTGCGCTGTCACAGGGACAGTAATGAGGGAGCTCTGCACTATTGGACAGATAGTGTTGAGGGAGTACTTCTCATCTCAGTCTGAAATGGCTTACCCCATATCCTTAAACTGCGACCCTTGTTCATTGGGAGCATCCTTCCTGTGTTTACCTTGTTATAGCCTAGACCCTGCCTTTATCCTGCATGGCCTGTGGAATTTAAGGAAGATCTGAAATATCTAAGAAGTACGGAGTGGGGTCTGCACTGTCAGACAAGCAGTACTGAAATGAAGTGCTCCACTCTTTGAAGAACATTACCAGGAAGTTCTGCACGGTTGGAGGGGATAGTACTGAAGAAGCGCTGCAGTTTCAGAGAGTTAGGACTGTGGGAATACTACTTTGTTGGGAGGGCTATTATTTCTGCAAGAGGCTCAATCAATACCCTGTTTTCAGTTCAATATTAAATATTCAGACTGGCTCGTCATATTCCTCCCTCAACCAGTGCAGCAATCCATCTCGCTTTGTGAAATCCAGCTGTACAAAATTGCTACCTCATATGTCTACATATCACCAGCCACTGCATGTCCTGTATCTTTCCCTGGACTGGATACATTTCAGCTCAGTGAAAGTACAGAACAAGTCAGTGCACAGCTGTGGGGCTTGAATGTTGTCTCAGTCATTTGTCTACAATCTTTATGCGATACTTGTTAAAGACACCAAACTTCAAATGTTCTAGATTGTGTGCCTATGCTGCCCCCCCCCCCCCCCCCCACTGCACCCCCACCAACATACTTCTCCA